TGCTTATCAAGACCTAACCTTTATACCATACATGGAGTACATTATACAAATACCAATACTTCAATATTCACTTTTCAAATCAGATAGAGTAATGAACATGTTTTACACATTACAATAATAATTATACATCATTTTCTCTACAATATTGAGAAATAACATTGTTCTTGTAAAGTTTGTTCATTTTTTTTTTTGTTCCGCTCATGGCCATTTTTCAGCATTTCCATACACAAAAGGCATTTAACAAATGTAGCACAGCACATGACCGGAAGGGAGCGGGTAGAAGACAAAGCTTATTTTACCTTCCCCTCATTCAGAACAGAAACAAACAATTATATAAGATGGTCTGTCCACTTCAGCTTATTTTCCTATAACTTAACAAACAATATTCCAATCACATAAAAGAAAACAAACAAAAGCAAAGTCAGTGTCCGCTTCAGAAATATGCATATACAAAACACGACTCGTCAACTTCATGTTTTGTTATTAGACTTTCTTTATACTTGGTTTTAAACTGAAATATGTTTGTGCAGCCCTTTAAAGTATTCCTCTGGGGGTTCCACAGAAATACACAACTGGTGCTTAAAATTAAATCGCTGTCTGTGCTCTTCATCCTTTGAACTGAAAATAAACATCTTTTGCAGGTTTTTTTGGTAACATTTTGTATCTTGCCCTGAATATTATTATGAGTATCTGTAATTTAATGAGATGATTAAAGTCTCTTAAAGCTTACCTGAGTACTACATTTTCTCCTTTCTACCGGACAGTCGTTTCATATTTTCACCCCTTTTTACAGACACACATAAATTTTTGACATTTGTTCGCGCTTTCGGTTTCTGAAATAATCCATAGCCTCTTAGATTGTAATTAGAGTCCCTCAGTTTAAACAGGTTCTGGACATGTTGTGGTAAGGCTAGGTTTTTTGTCTTTGTACATGATTTGTATTGTGATGTAAAAATTTAAGGAAGTAATAAGGGGATGGGTTGATTCATGGTAATGTTTGCTGCAGATGACTTGCTTTTTTAAAAGAAACTGAGTTTGTATTTGTTTTATAAGTGTTTCCCTAAATCTCAATGCAATAAGTCATGTACAGAGTTATCAGGGAATAGTATAGAGCGGCTAACCCTTTTTGTCAAAGTAAATCTTTGGCTTGATACAGAATGGCGATAGATTTTGACATTCTCGATTTAATCTGATTTATGTATGATTTCCAACTAAGTTTGTTATCTACAATGATGCCAAGGAATTTATTCTCAGTTACTACCTCGATTTCCTTATTGTCTATAGTTAGATTTCTACATTGAATTACTTGCTTATTTCCAAATATAAAACATGTAGTTTTGCCAAAATGGAGTGACAGTTTATTCGTGTCAAACCAAGTTTTAAACTTTTCCAACTCTTTTTCCATCGGGTCTAGAAGCTGTTCCAGATTACTATGACTGCAAAACAAAGTCGTATCATCAGCAAACAAGATACATTTCAGCGATTTCGACACCAGACTTTTATCATTAATATATAAAATAAACAACAATGGACCAAGTACAGAGCCTTGCGGCACTCCACAGTGTAAATAGAGGAAACAGAGAAATAGAGGATGACTGAGGTCAATTTAACGACAATGCTGTAATTAAACGGCATGTCTCTTTATAAGACACACTTGAGTTCCTCTGGTCTTTCTTGACCCTGCTGCAGCTCTCTGGATGTCCCCTTTCCATCATCCCTTGAGGCCTCCATCGCTCTGCGATCCCTGTCTCCGGATAAGGAGCCAAGGAGAGGAGGCATTAGTAAGCAGCTGTCGGTGTCCGGCAGCACGCTCTCAGTGTGAGAAAACAGCAGATTTAACCCTCCTCATCTTTAATCTGATCTCTTTAAACTCATATTGACCTTTTTTTTCTTCATGTGTTTCAGGAGGTGGAGCGCAGACGAGGCTCGGATCCTTAGAGTGTCTGTAAATTCCTTTCTAGTTCATCTATCTTTGGTAATAGAGACCATGGACATGTTTGGACCTGCTGTCTCTCAGTGAAACCTGATGCACGACTGATCTGTCTCATCCTCCTCTGGACTCGACTCAGGCTTGACATCTGGGAGACCACCAGGTTCAGAATCAGAGATGGAAGTCTGAGCAGCCGGCAGCTTGGACTTTGTAAAGATCTCACACTTTTCCAAGTGGGTTTACATTTAAGAGACTTTAGTTTCACTGGTGACGGGTGTGGGTGAAAAAAGGACAAACATGGATTCAAGTTCAAGCAAAAGAGAAACTCCTGTCTGGTCTCAGCTCCTCAGATTCTTGGGATTTTTGTGTTTGTAGGATAATAATCTTACAAAGACAAAAATATATATGGAGAGGCAATTCAAACGGAAGTTTTTACTCTTTTTGACATTTTTTGGACTAAAACATTTCCAGAAATCTGAAGTTAACGCTTTTAAATTTCAGAAATAATTTGGCTTGAATGTGTGTCATAAAAGTTAAAGTTTTTTATCCACTTGATAATGTGATGTAATTATAAAAATCTCAAGGGGGTAAACTTCCTGTTGAACATTTTTGGACTTTGTCTTGTTTTTAAGTGAAAGCAGACAAAGTTAAAGATCCTGTGAGGAACTTTTTAGGTTTGTGTCAGTTTGGGCGCCCCCCTGTGGACAAAGATGTTCATCTCATCACTTTGCTGATCTCATTCTGGTTAAAATTGCTGACATTAAAGTCTTAAAACTTTGAAATGGTCTTGTTGCTGATGGTTTTGTTTCACTTTGTAGGCCATAATAAAGGGCTCAGGATTAGTTTCACTATGTTTTATTATTGGTTAAAATCTCCTTACTGGACCTTTAAATGATTGATGTTTAAAACATGACGTCAAATTATCTTAAGTCATGAAACGAGTGAAAGTAAAAACAAACAAGATGAAAAGTACGGTAATGTATAGGACCATGGTGATATGGGACATATTATCCAAGAAAACAACAAATACAGATTTAAAGATCCAGTTAAAGTACATTTTTTAGTCAAACAGCTCCTTATTTAGATGAAGCTACTTTGTAGAATCAATCAGAGTTTGTCTGATTTACTTGAAATATCTAAAGTCTGCTTAAGTATTAGGTATTGTTTCTGTAAATTAATTCAGTTATGTGGATTGTAAGTTGATATCTGAACATCTGATTATTTCATAACTATAGCTACACTGTGAAAATGAATAAGCTCCACTAACGTGTATGTTGTTTGTATTGTTCTAGTTTTGTTGTTTGTCTTGTAGGCTGTTGTGAGTTGTGGTTATCTTTGTGGCGTGGTGTTTTTTTTTGGTTGTTTCTTTTGTCGTTTCACTGAGATGGAGAGCTGATTGTTAATGTAGACTCCAGGGGGGTATTCCATCAAGCTCGCTTAGCTCAAAGTCTGGCTTAAATGGCCAAGTCTCGCTTATTTTAGTGAGAGTTGAGTTTCACCAATGTGGCTAAGATTAGCTCCAACTTGGTAACCATGGAAACATGGTTCTGGCTAAGCCGGACACTTGGAGCTAAGCTCTGACTTTCTGTTCCATCAACCTGAGCCTCAATTCTGTTCCATCAAAGTGGTTAACACGAATGCCAGCCTTGTAACCATGGTGACTTATGCTGCTGGCCAAACCTGGTCTGGAGCAGGATTAAGGTGAAGATTAACTCCACTAATGTCCAAAAAATGTCCAAAAGACATGTCTGTTTTGCATTTACATACACAATGCACTGATAAAATAATTTGTGAAACCAAAACGTGCTTTCCATCCACTTTGTAACTAAAAGTGCATTTGGTAAGTATTATGATTTTGTAAAAAATAAAAACCAATCCGTTTCCGTTTATCTTGATTGCATCCTTATAGATAAAAGATGAATAAAATAAATAACAATGAATAAATTTAAAGGTATGATTAAAACACGTAGAGGAAGCCTACATAAGTCACCTAAAATGTCCTCCAATCGACTGCCCCTGACAGTCAATGATGGCAAGGTGTAGACTATTAAGCAGAGCAGTCAAGTCAGGCAGGGGGACACACATTCAGCAGAGACAAAGACTAAGAGAACATGGCATGTCCATTCATTGAGGATGAGGAGCCAATTGACGAGGGGGCACAAATAATTCAAAGGGCCTTCTTCAGGCGACCACCAGCCCCGAGGGTCTTCCAGGAGAGGAGAGGAGGAACACAGTCACAGCTTTACAGTTATATTTACTAATACATTTCACATTATTACAATTATTATGCATTACTGACCATTTGAAAGGATGTTTTTATATTTTATTTTGACCTGTTGCCAGGTGCGTTTCTGGCCTCCGAGGTTGCTTCTGTTTGGACAGTAAAAGGAGGTTAATAAAGACACAGTGAATGCTGAGTGAGTTTTAGTTAGTTCCTCATGCTACTGCACAGTCATGAAGGTAAAATGAAGGAATTAGCTCCTTTTTATGCAACAAGAGAATCAATTAACCCCTGCAAACATTTAAACAGCGCTCCTCTGAATAGGGGGAAATTAGGTACATACATGATCAATTGTGTGATAAATGTTTTGCATATAAAACAATTTGATTATAGCCACTTCAACTCCGATTATAAATCTGATTAAATCACTATCTGTAGCCTACAACTTGTCTTGTAGTGAATTTCTTTAATTTTACAGCCTAAATTACAATTCTGTTATGTCAAACAGGTTGTATCATTAACATTGAGACGGGATTATCATCTGAAATAATGAATGGATAAAACATCACTTACGCCTTCAGCCTGTCGGCAATTGTCTTCCATGCTGCCTCTCTCGCTTTGTTTATTTGAGCGGTGTTACCTTTTTTAGTTATTATATCACGGTAATCATCATATAACTCCATAAGGAGGTTTTGTTCAGCATCAGAAAATCTCTGCCCGTGATTTTGCGGCATTCTGAGCCATTTTGCAACACTTTCAGCACTCGACTTGTTGGGTCTTTTTATATTCCGCGGGGAGGCGCTCAGTGTGAGGTTTAACAGGTGAGGCTAGAATTAGCGTCAAGTGGAGCCAGCTGATCTCGTTTGATGGAACGGGTTGGGGCTAGGTTTGGAGTTGCCGTTAATTCAAGCTTCAAGATTACACCATAGTCCCGATTTTCTTAGCGACTTTGATGGAATACCCCCCAGGAAGAAGAGCGATGACCTTAGCCAAAGCTAATGGAGATCTAAATAAATAAATGAATGAATGAATGAATGAAAAGATGGAAAAGGATCTCATCGTATCCTGCCAATCGAACTTTAAATTACTGAAACAAGGTTTGAGGTCTAGACAGACCGCCCTTTCCTGAGACTAATGAGGTTGATGTGGGCGTATGAAACCAAATGTGAATTTTCTAGTCAGTAATACTCTAAATCTGTGACAGAATTTCACTCTGAGTGTGTCCAGCAGAGGGCGCTGCATGATCATAAACTCATTCACCTGTTTATTCATTTATTTGACCTCCTTTAATCCCAAATCCTTTTTCCCTCATGAAGACACATCAGACTTTTATTTCAGAGTATTCTCATTTTCCTTTTAATTCTATATAAAATAAAAACATGGATTTATCTGCAGTCATGACAAAAACCTCAACAGTGAAAATGTAATCAAGTGTGGAGGATAATTCAACTTTAAACAATGAGAAGAAATCTTCTGTATCTTCCTCTCTTTTCTATTGAATCTCTATCTGAGGATCAATTTAGTAAAACAGTCACAGGAGATAGTTAGATCTGTGTTCTGTGTGCCGTGGTGCGTTCAGGTATATTATCACCATCTGGTAAAAGGAGTTTAATCATCTCCCTGAGGTACAGAGGAGGATTTTCCTTCAATGTTGTCTGAATAAAGTCTGTTTTTGTGTTTTAGGGCCCATTTGAAGACCTGAACAAACACTAGACCCTCTTTAAAGTCTGATCACACTTTAATGTTTTTTAATCAAATAATATGTTTAAAAAAATAATATTTTTGGTTATTCTGTGAGAAACTAAAGAGTTGTTGTAAAACCAGCAAAAACCCAGAGGGCTCTTTAACTCAGTTTTCTGGAATCACTCTGTAGGTTCAGTTTTCATGAATATTGAAATGTTTCTAAACTCTGACACCCCCGGCCGTTTAGAAAAATGTCGTCTGTGAAGGTAATTTTTTAATCGCTGGATAATCGTTGTGACTCAGAACAATTGTCCTCTTCATCGCACAGACTCTGGATCAGTTTGTCTTTGTTCTCTGAAGCTGCTGAACCGACTGAAAAAAACAAAAAGAGGTTTTTAATGACGGAGAAGTGACTGGAAATGAGCTGTGTGTGTGTGTGTGTGTGTGTGTGTGTGTGTGTGTGTGTGTGTGTGTGTGTGTGTGTGTGTGTGTGTGCGTGCGTGCGTGCGTGCGTGCGTGTGTGTGTGTGTGTGTGTGTGTGAAATGTCTGTTATTGTTTTCGTCTGTGGGATCTGAGGCCTGTACTACGAAGCTGGATTAACACATCCAGGATAACTCTGCGACAACTCGCTCAACTTCACCGGATCTCCGCGATCCCGATCAGCTGTACTACGAAGCCGGTTATCAACTCGATAACTGAATCCAAGCGAGGCCGTCCGAGGAAAACCTGTAACGTTCATAGAGAACGTCATCAGGTAAATCAAACAGATTTGAAAGATCATGAATAAACACGAAGCGCTCCTCTCACTATCCGTGCAACAATGTCCCCGGGATCTGGCAAAAGTGGGCAAGCCATTTTCCAAGAGATCCGATTGGTCATTGGGCGGTTTTTTATACCTGCTGAGATCTTATCCTGAAACATAACCTGCTCCGGAGCAGGTTTGGCGTTCCGCGTAAGTTACCGGGGAAACGGACCCGGATAAAAAGAGATCCACCTTCGTAGTACGGAAAACCCAGAAGTTATCCAGAAGTTATCTCACTAAGACCAAATCCAGCTATGTAATACAGGCCTCTGAGCAGAACATGGACCCACACATCAGGATCTTCCTCCTGGACTCTGAAACCATCTTTGCTCGGTTTTCAGGTGGACTGTGGGTAGGGCTGGGCGATAAAACGATAACGATTTAATTAATTTCCCTCTATATCAATAAAGAACACGGTCAATATGCTTTTAAATAGTCAGCATTCTGCTATGTTTTGATCGACTATACAAATAGCCAATGAAAAGATGATGACATCTTTGACAACACTGGCACAAAAACTTCTGTGGTGTGGACGTATTTTGATTTTTTGAGGTCGGACATGAAGCAGAGTTATGTGTACTGTAAATTATGTCGCGTACATGTTCCCACAAAGTCAGGGAATACCTCAAATCTTTCTCACCACCTGAAGCAGCGCTACGCGGCAGAGCGCGCGCAACGCAAAAGGTTACAAACCCTGAGAGGAGCAAGGAGCCCATGGCGCCTGTGCAGCCGAAACAGCCGACCATTCAGTCCACTTTCTCTAGAGCAACGCCTTACGACAAAACGTCAAAGAGACACAAAGACCTCACAGATGCAGTAGATTAATTGGAAAAGACATGCTACCAATAAACAGTGTTAGATTTTATTTTTTATATCGTGATATACATTGATATAGACTGATATGAAAAAATATGTCGTGATAAACTTCTTCCCATATCGCCCACCCCTACCTGTGGGTTCCTGGTTTTTCTCACCTGGGGCCTGTTCTACGAAGCACGATTACTGCTTAGCGAGGTAACTTTGAGGGTAAGTTCAGGGTTTCCTGTTCTACAACGGGGGTACACTTCTTAGTGAGGCAAGTCTCCATGGCAACGTACACTAAACGGCTGGTCAGGTTAGGATCCAGATTGAACTCACCGAGTAGAAAAACCCCGCCCACTGACCAATGAGCTCTCTCGAAAAACGGCTTGTCCGTTCTTGTAGGATCCTGTAGACCTCGGTGCTCGCATTGTCCGAGGAGGAGCACTCCGACGCGAAAGAGTTTTCAGGTACCGCACGGACCCACTTACTTTTCCGGATGACCACCTTTATGAAAGGCTCATATAGCCGACATATCACACAAAAAATGTAAACACGATAGGAATGAACAAATGAACGAATTCATCTTAGAAATGAATTAGAAATGTCTGGTGCATGTTAAAAGCACATGTTGAACAGTGCTATATCAGGGTGATAATGGCATCAAAGATTTTTTGCGCACTATATTTACGCATTGAGACTGTCTGCAATTTTCTGCCAGCATTTCTTCCGTGCTTTTGCGGCGACTGTGTTGCTTTTGAGGTTAATGATAGATTTGAATTCTCCATGCTTTCTCATGATCATCTCCCGCTCCTCGTTTGTAAAGTACGCAGTCCTTCGCTCTGGTCTGCTCTCGCGCTCCAGACTGGTCAATGTTCGCAATTGGTCAGATGCGGCGGGCTCTGACTTACATGCGTGCACGCGCTCATAGCAAAGCTGGATCCACTTACGAGGTTGATAACCAGCATCGTAAGGCTGTTTAGAGAGGCCGCTGGCTACCGCGCTAAGTTGAGCGAGGTAGCTCCAAGGCTACCTCGCTAGGTTGAACTTGCTTCGTAGAATAGGCCCCTGGTCTTTGACCCAGATCTCAGGTATCCAGGAGGACCTGCTGAGGTTGTTCAGGTGAGGAGGACTCTGGGGGGCCTCTGATTGGAGGTCATGTACACCTGGAAGGAGACCCCAGGGTAGACCTCAATGGATGGATGGATGTCGACAGTCTGGTGAAAAATCTGTTTCTGTTTGCATTCTTACCTCTTAGCTCCACCCCTTTTTTCTGTGCTCACCTTCAGGTAGGATGTCCTCATTTAGTGGGGACAGGAGGGTGGGGGTCCTGGTTCTGGTTCTGATCTGCTGAGGCTGGAACTCCTATCGTCAAACACTCAGCGGAGAATCAGATCTGTGCTGCTCCTTATTCGGACGAGTCCACCAAATATTAAAATGACATTTTTTCAGCTTTGTTGTCAAACAAGTGACTCATCATTTCTGACCTTTAAATATCATCCCACTTCCACTCATGACAAGTGTCTGTGAATAAAAACTGCTGAAAACTAAAGGAGTGAGGAGAGCTTTTCAAAGTGTCGGAGAAGAATACGATTTCTTTTCTAACTCTTCTTATTATCGCAGGAACACCTGCAGAGTCCGACCAACAGCTGCTGGAGGAAGTCTGCAGACCAAACAACAGTAAGTCAGTCCAGGTACAGGAGGAGTTTAAACGGAGTGAATCTATCGATATACCCTGGAAGATCTGGAGAAGAGCCGTTAGTTTTCAAAGCTGTTCTGATGTTTGTTTCCATCTCCAGGTCCAGCCCAGTCTACATAGTCCCCCTTCGGTTTTCTGTGAGTCAGCGTGGAGTAAATTTCTTTAAACTTCCATAGGCGACTGTTTAAATGTCTAAATGTCCGGGCTGAGAGAGCCCACCGCGGAGCTCTCACACTCCTCAATCTAAGCAGACTTTAAGGGTGAAATATACGAGCGGGCGCCCTGAGGGGAGAACTGGCTCTGACTGGATGGATTTAGGATCTTTTTTGCACTCAAAGCTCTTCTGCTGACCTTTTTTTTAGAGTTGCCGGCACGGCAGAAAACCCAGATTTGATGGTCTGTCTTCTAGGTAAGGACTCTTGACTCCATCCTCAGTGTTCAGTGTGTTAATTTGATCTGACAAACTGAGTTAAAGGTGGGGTAGTCAGGATCTGAGGAATTCCAGTTTTTGGGGGCCCCACCCACAAACAGACGCTCCTGCTCGTATCGTTCCAATTAAATTCAGATATAATGCAGATAAATACTTCAGATAATTACAAATGGGGCCCAGTCAGTGTGAAAGTAAAAAGCATTGGTGCTACTGTAGATGCCAACAGACTACCAGCAAACACAATGTTTGCAGGACTTCTACAGCTAGGATAAAGTGACATAGTCCAGGACCCGAGGTCAACAGTTTAGCGGCGCTACAACACGCTACAGCAGGTCCTATTTGACAAGAAACACTTCTGTTACAGACACTTGGGTTACTTTGTTAAAGCGGTTTACCTGTCCAGCAGAAAGGTTACAGGGTCACCAAGATCCCGAAGCGTCCCCCATCATTTATGTTAACCCGGCTTTTTAGTTCTTGTCCGGTCTACCTCCATTTTAAGTGCCCGTTATTCTTCCAGAGTCTCCGGTATTTACTTCGTTTTCTTGCTTGTGTTGGCAGTCGTGGCCAAAGGAGGATTCAGACAATTTTCCGTACTTTCTGGTTGGTTTCTACTGTCTGATATTGTAGCACGCTAACTTTGTTTGGGCTCGTGAAAGTAAATTAAGGATGTGGAGCATGCCTCACAACCAATAAGGTTAGGGTAGGGAGAAAATGGCTTTGCTTACAGCCCCGTCTCTCTCTCTCTCTGTCTCCCCCCCTCTCCCTCTGTGTATGTGTACATTTGTTTGTCAGGCGGCGTGCTAAACAAAGCACAATGCCGGTGGCAGAGGCTGCAGCCGCAGAGTTTGAGAAGCTGACTTGCAATCAAGCTTCACCCCGCGGTGCAG